GCAAACTCTTACAAAAGGAATGAAATCCCTCCATTCCACCCCCTGCACAAACTGCAATTTACTGTGTATGATTTACTCTTACTACTTTTGAGCTATTGTAAAGCCCAGTATGTACTCAGTGTTTGGGTCAGATTTGTAATCTTCTTCAAGAGAAATGCAGTTTTCTTGTTTCCAGTAAAGAGCTTATGCAAAGTGCTGAGTGGTTGGCCTTCCTAACAATCACATAACTGTGATCCCATCCCTCCCCAAAGTGATTTTCCAAGTTTTAAAATTGATTTATTGGGTAAATATGCAAAAAGCTTGATTTTTTTTTTAAACAAAGGCACCTGCTGGAACAAACAGGATGGAGCACAGAGGAAGAGGAAATCAGTCTTGGATTCAGAGCGAATAGGCATGTTATTTGAGCAGCAAAGTCAAAGGAATACCAGGTTCAAACAAACAGAAAAACTCTCTCTTGCTTCTTGATACCATTGTATGTACACTTCAACACTCTATTTCTTATTGTATACATTTATTTTGTTTTTTTTAAAGGGGCAGTGTCTATAAATGGTAGAAAAGAGCAAGAGTTCAGAAGCACCTTAAAGACTAAAAGAAATTTGTGGTAGGATATGAGCTTTCATGAGTGACTGTTCACTTCTTCAGATATCTATATATCTATAAAGTTATCAAGTTAATGATTATCAAGTTAGACCCTGTGTGATGCAAAACTGATATGATGGAAATGGATTTACTCCATGATTATTTACATACATACAGTTTCAGAAAACAACATGGGGATGGACAATTGTTAGGGCATGAAGTTTGTTTCAGGGATGATCAGGGGTCTTGTTGTAGAAAAAGAGCTGCCGGAGCTCATTAGCATAACTCATTAGCATAACTTATTTGCATATGCCACGCCCCCTGACATCACCGGAAGTGACAGAAGGCCACACCCCCTGACATCACCGGAAGTGTGTCAGAAGGCCCGGCTACTTACCCTCCTGCTTCATCCTCATTCCCAAACGGAATGAGGATCGAAGCAGAGGGCGGGGTAAAGAAGGGGGCGGGGCTTCACCACGTGACCGCCCCGCCCCCTAGAGGTTCTCTTCCGGAGCTCCGTACCTGAGAGCTCCCCCCCGACTAGAGCCCTGGGGATGATCATCTGCAGTTTTGCAAAACAAGCATATGGGATGACTCTGACACCATCATGTCTCATGTCCAAGTCTCATAGTCTTTGCTGAATGGTAAGTAATCAAGGATTCAGATGGGTGAAGAAAAGGAGAAGAAGAGATTGGATTTCTACCCCACCCTTCACTTGGAGTCTCAGAGCAGCTTACAAACTCCTTTCCCTTCCCCTCCCCACAACAGACACCCTGTGAGGTGGGTGGGGCTGAGAGAACTCTGACACAAACTGCTCCTTTTCAAGGACAGCTGTGCTAGAGCTTGTGACTGACCCAAGGTCACATCAGCAGGTGCAAGTGGAGGAGTGGGGAATCAAACCAGGTTCTCCCAGATTCGAGTCTGCACACTTAACCACTACACCAAACTGAGTGAGACAGATATATATGGCCTGGAATCACTTTCCAAATCTTATCTACCATGAGCCCTGTCATGGTCTGTGTCATGTTGTGAGGCAAGACTAGCCTGTGTTCCCCCCCCCCCACTTTACTGCTGCCATCACCACTTTGTGTAAAATCCAGTCCCCCTCTTTCTCACGTGTGTTGCCTGAGGCCAACCTCACAGAGGTGTTGCTCAGTAGTGTACCAAGTGGCCAGGCAGGTAGGTAAGGACTTGTGGGGACTCTCTCAAGTTAAACAAACTTTATTTCTACAAGGCACAAACCTGGGATATAACAAAGGACAGAATTTAGGTGCACAAAGGAAAATAGACAAAAAGACACTCACTAAGCTTACAATCCATGCTACATCTGATCTCTGGAAGTTGCAGGATGCCCCCATTCCTGGTACATCTGCAACTCTCTTTAGCATCATTCTCCTCTGTAATTCTTCATGGTAAAACACACAGTCCCAAAGAGTTTCCAAAATGAAGTGCCCCCAAACAAAGAAACAGCTTCCCTTTTCAGACTCCAGCCCATGTGTGTTCTGGGGCCTTCAGCCAATCTGGTTATAAACCTTGGGGATCATCCCCACCAGTTCTGGACCCTCTAATCAAGTGGTGTTAACACATCAAAAGACTATTGTGTTATCCTTCCCAGGTGGAAAAGGATGATTCTCCCCTTCTTCCTAGCCACAGAGACACCTGGACTACTTCCCATCACCATAACTGTCGAGGCGTCTCTTGCCCCTCTGCCCCATATCTCACTACAAACCCTTTTGGAATAAGTCAGGTTAATAATGTAGAAAGGCAGAAAAATACATGAAATGGAGGGATGTCTTCAAATTGAGATGAACCCAAGCACACTGATAGTACAACTGCAGTGCATTTTTGTGTGAGCTGTGACATCTGAAGATGTAGGGTTAGGAAAATCCTCCAGATGAATTTAGAAGAAAATCCTTAGGTGAAATAGCATTAGTATACCCCTCTCTCTGGCAAAGGATGTCATCCATCTCTGAAACATCATCAGTTCTCACTCAACTTGTGGTGTTTGCAATGGACTGTGGATGCCTATAGAACAATTCTTGGTGTTTCCAAAGGACTTCGGATATTCATAAAGTCCATAGAGGAAACTCTTGGGCTGAGTTCAGACTGGCAGTTTGAAGTGGGGGGGAGCCATTGCAAAAAAGAACCGGAACAAACTGTTCTGGGTTTTCCCGGTCACACTGCGTGGATTGATGCGAGAGCATACCAGGAGGAGGCACGAGGGAGTGTTCACACTGTTGGCCTGGAGGTGCGGCTATAAGCGGCGTTTTCCTCATGGCAGGCACCTGGGCGCCTAGGCACGGCGGCAAATAGGGCAGGATCTGGCCGTTGTGAGCCATAGGCACATCCAGTGACATCACTGCCCCCTCTTCAAGGCAATCACCTGCACCTTCCTGGTGCCAGAGTGAGGCTAGGAGGACAGTCAGCATAAACAGCCAGCACACATTTTTAAGGCAGGCTGTTCCCAGCTTTTAGCGGTTAGTGTTCACACTTCCGGGAAGCAGAATGAAGTGTGATAAACGGGCTCTCCAGGGTTTGCTACCACTTTCACCAGGTATCTTTTAAACCCGGAAGTGAAACGCTACAACATGGGTTGAGTTCAGGTGGGGAATGCCAGACAGATGTGCCTGTGTAAATGGCCCCTTTAATCCGCTTGTGAAGCGTTCCTCACACACACCTATATCAGAGCAAACTGCCAGTCTGAACTCGGCTTTGGTGTTTCTAAAGGGGTTATGTAGCTCACTTACTGCTCGTTACCTTTGACCTGTGCCCCAAGCAGGATGGTCCAAGGTAGCATGATATTGTCAGGTATCAGAAGCTAAGCGGGGTCAGCCTTGGTTAGTGCTTGGATGGGGGGGCCACCACCAAAAAGTCCAGTGTTGCTATGCAGAGGCAGGCAATGGAAAACTGGCTCTGTGCGTCTCTTGCCTCGAAAACATTATGCAAATGCCAGAAGTCAGCTGCAAATTGACAGCACTTTCCATCACCACCTTTGATCTATAAGGAATCAGGCAAACATACAAAGACAAATATGAAAAGGGCCACTTCATATATTTAATCTTATTATACATTTCTTTCTAAATTACAAAGTCAACAAGTTGCAAGTATAGTTTGCTACAAAGCTTTCTGTACGAAATATCTTCTATAAGAAAATACATCTCATTAAACATTTCCTGTAAATAAATTATTTCAAATACTAGATCTGGCAGGAAAATAAGGGAAGGGCATGCAGAAGCCACCTGATAACCTTTAAACGAGGGGGAGTTCTGACTTTGCAACTGCTGGGCGTGCCAAAGGACGCCTTCTTGTCATCTCACAGAGGCAAAAGGGTTAGGGGTATGTAGATACCATCCCGTTCAGCAAAAGGGGAAATGTCTCATGGAAATTATGTACCTGATGACCTTGTTCTTGCTTTCATTGCACTTGCAGAAACCGGGCACAGCGCCTACATCAATCTGAAACAAGGCCCAGTGGGATGCAGTATTGAACCTTTGCAGTTTAAAGTTTAAATAATCTGTATAATTTTTAAAAAAAGAAATAATGAAACAGAGGCCTAAACTCTGAGGTGGTGTTACAGGCAAATGCTCATGAATGGAGCTCTCCCAGTTTTAAAGAGAATGAAAAACAATCCTGAGAGGCTGCAGTTTTGAACAGAAGTGCTGTGTGGCTGAAAGGAGAATTTCGTCGGCCATTTTCTGTTCAAAATCCCCTCCACAGCTACTTTCCCCTCCCAATAGGTTTCCATTTGTATATTTTCAAGGGTAGCTGCACCTCTGGACCTCTGCTGGAGAAAAGTAGCTTGGGGGAGGGGGGAGGGGGGAGGGAGATTCTGAGTGTGGAAAAAAGAGCCAACAGAGAAAGGACCAAGTGATTCCTTCCCCCATTCCTCTGCCACATTTCCCAGCCTCCTGAAGGTGGTTTTCATTTCCACAATATCTCTTTGGGCTTTGTTGCAAACATTTGTATATATGCTTTATTTCTGGATACCACAAGCTATTTGAAACTTTAAGAAAGATGTAGGTGAGTGGGGATCAATACGTAGGTCAAAGTGTGGCACTAATTGAGTTCATGCACTCTTCCCTTAAATCTATTTAACTTTTCTGGCTTTCTTGACATTCCATTAAGGAGTGCTAAGGCAGGGAGGGGAGAACTTTGAGGAGAGGGGAGAACTTTCTAGGATTCCTGGAGAAAAAGCCATGGCAATTGAACTGACTCAGAACCAGTTTCCCTAAATAATTTTAAACTCTGTGGATCCTCAATGGCATCATAACATATATTCTTGTTAATCCAAAATATGGATATATATATATTTATATATTGAGCTATTTTGTTTTCCAAGTCTGAGTTACAAGCAAGCCATAATTTGCAGAACACAAGGACATAAAGTAGAAACAGAAAGCTTTGAAGAAAGGGTTGTGGGAAGCATAGTGGCCACAGATCCCATTCCAACATGGATTTAATCACACAGGGTGGCAGGAAAAAATGATAATCTGAATGCCCCCTAGGAGTGGCACAAGGTAAAACAAAGAAAGGTACAGATACAGACGTTCTTTCAACCAATCAAGCATATTGCCTGGGGTAATCCTACCCCTCCATTTCCCCGCCCCCAGCCTCTTCTGCTTACACAAATAACACATTTAAAGAATAAGTGAGTATAGCAAGAGAAAATGCAGGTGTGCTAGGAAAGAAATCAAGCAGTCATTGTTCATTTGTATCATTCCATTAATACTGCTGCGGTGATTGAGAAATCATTGTTGTCCACTACAATCAATGGAAGCATTTGATCCTATCCACACAGTTAACATGCATTTGAAACAAGATTGTGCTCTTCTGCCAGTCTGAGCTATATTTCATCACATAATGTCATTTATGAATAACTGATCATGTGTCCATGTTTATGGTATCTTTCATTGTATGGGTTTTCATGACACTGGCGCACAGATGCTTCCATTTTTAGTGTCTCCCAAGTTGATGTGTGCCAAACAGTCCTCTTGGCATTGTCATAATGTAGTTCACAGCCAACCAACAAGGCTGTCTCCCTTTGAGGCAAAAGTCCACAAGAATTTTCCAGGCAATTCCCAGCATCCTGGCATTCACAACTAGCAGTTCAACATCCCATTCCACTCTGGAAGCATCCAGGAACAGCTCAGTTTCTCTCTCAGCCCCAAATTTGCTAGCACATGGACATACAGAAAGTGTTTGCTGCGTTATTTGAAGAGGACACCCGTCTGATAAAAATGCTCACTCAATTTGTGAAACTATACCACACAGACTACCATCCCTGCTCAATGCCTACTTTCAAGGTTAACATCTTTCTTGAAAGATACTGTTTATTTCCCCCTCCTTCTACTAAGCAGCCTGTTTGGCAGGAAGCTCTTTCCAATTCACATGACAGCCTCGAACTGTTAATGAGTAAAGTTAACAGGTTACAGCATTCACCATAACTTTTCCCCCTCCAAATATATTTTGTTTGCTATGGAGTCTTCCTTTAGCGTCCAAGAATGTGTTGATCAAAAAGTCCATCAGCAAAGCACTGCTTTGTGTTGTAAACACATAGTGTAGCATTTATTTTACAATCATATGGGGGAACCTAACCCACCATGAATGCAGCCAACTTGTTGATAAGTCACAGGTCATGCTTATAACACAGTGAATTTCAAATGTCATTGGCACTGTACTCTCCCATATGGAATATTTGGCACTGCTGGCAGAATGACGCTGTATAATGAAGACATTCCAGCTGCCTTGGCATTCCTCTGCAGGGCAGAAATGTCCTTCAGTCTATGGTGATGTTTATTCCTGCCACAGTTGTTACTTTGGTCATTCTGCTCTTATTTGCAATCCTTACGTTCCACCACGCAGCAATGCACTCAGTACATAGGGTCCACGGCCCGTTGGTTACAGGCTCTGTGTCATCAGATCTTCTGGCACACGTGAAGTCTTGCTTTTGAAGAGTAGGTGGCGTCTTTCCAGATTTTGCATGACAGCCCTTTAGCACAGTCACATCGCTGGAAAATCTCCAAGCCGTGGGACCCTTTCTTGCGCTGTTTGGTGCACACCTCCCCTTGGTGCAAGACGGGCTTACAAATTTTGGTCCAGAAATGACGTGCACAGCAGAAGCCCTCGGTACAGTCAGAGGACCTTAAACAGGGGTCTCCTTCATGACCTAAAAATAAAAGAGGAAACCATAACTCTCAGTGCACAGGGGAAAGAAAAGGAATGGATTAAACCGACCTACAAAAAAAGTGCAACAGTACAAACAGGGGGAAACTACCCACTACCAAATGAAAAATGTATTAAAAATCTATTTTTCATAGAAAAAGTGTATATATTAGGAACAGGGAAATCCAGTGTCTACTTTCAAGCAAACATGAATAAGGAGGAGGAAGAAGAAGGAGAAGGAGAAGAAGAGATTAGATTTATACCCTGCTCTTCACTTGGAACCTCAGAGCAGTTTACAATCTCCTTTCCCTTCCCCTCCCGACAGCAGACACCCTGTGAGTTAGATGGGGCTGAGAGAGCTCTTTCGAGGATGGCTCTTGAGAGAACAGCTCTGAGAGAACTTGTGACTGACCCAAGGTCACACCAGCAGCTGCACATGGAGGAGTGGGAAATCAAACTCGGTTCTCCCAGATTAGCATCTGCACTCTTAACTACTACACCAAACTGGCTTATTGAACTGAGTAACATCATTATACTGTCTGTTTCAGGCCCGCTCGTTATTTATGTTATAGTTTTATATTTATGCAACATAAAAGGCATTACTTTAAATGATGGTGAGCCACCCCATTTTTAAAAAGTTCACATGAAGTTGCCTTATACTGCCTTATACTGAATCATACCATTGGTCTTTCAGTCTTGTCTATGGGGAGGTCTACTTGTTTTGTCTCCAGTATCTCAGGTCTTTCTTATCATCTGATCCTGTTAACTCAAAAGGCTGGGGACTGAACCTAGGACCTTCTGCATGCAAAACTGATACTCTTCTGCTGAGTCAGGGCCCTTCCCCCAGTTTGGGAAAGGTACATTAGAAATAATTTAAATACATAAATATATGCGTGCCTCTAAAATCCTGTAACTCGCATTTATATAGCACACATTGGATATGATCCAGCACAGAGACCACATTTTGAAGACTTCCATAGGCTTAAAAGAGCTCTTCCCCCCCTACCTCAGTATATATGCAGCATGGAGGATGGGTGTTCTATGCTTCTGTCCCAGACCCTGCATCCAGCCACCCTCCTTCTCTCCATTTGGTGCTAGTCTCTTCTGCTTCAGAGCATGGGTACTTTGAACCAAGTGAGAAGGCTGGTTGAGGATCTAGGTAACACACATAAACCTCCCATTTGCTACCTACATAAGCACCCAGGAGGCAGGATGGGAAAAGAGGTGTCTATTGAACTTATAGGAATCCTGTATACGTGGATGCATTTTCCATGGTTGGGTCTCCTTATTTATTCTTTTGATGACGTCCTTGCTGGTTTGTGGGCTGGGTCTGAGAGTAAGCCTTCTGCGACACATTCCTTAAGGTTACCCACGTTGTAGCAAGTTGGTTATTTTACATGCATTGTATGTTGAGGGCAGCATCTTAAATGCAGAAGGGGTTTTGTATATGGATGATTCCAAGACAGACAAGCATGGACGACTTCAAAAGGGAATTAGATAAGCATATGGAGCAGAGGTCCATCAGTGGCTATTAGCCACAAGGTATAGATAGGGGCTCTGGGGTGAGTGATGCTCTGTCTTCTTGGTGCTTGGGGGGGGGTCAACAGTGGGAGGGCTTCTAATGTCCTGGCCCCACTGGTGGACCTCCTGATGGCACTGGTATTTCTGGCCACTGTGTGACACAGAGTGTTGGACAGGATAGGCCTTTGGTCTGTTCCAACATTGGCATCTCTTATGCTCTTATGTTCTTACTTGCAAGTTGGTGAAGGTTCAAGGTCTTCCTGTGTCTTTCTCAGACCAAAGAAATACACGTTTAAATCCTTATTTCATAATAGTTTTGATCCAAACAGCTATTTCTGCTGGTGAAAAAAGGAGTGTGTCTCCTTTGGCCACTCAAAAAAGCTATGGGATATGCATGTACAAAAACCATAGTGCTGGACGAGGAGAAGAACTGGGTGAGACTAAACGAAAATGCTTCCTGGATCCAAAACAATGTTACAGAAAATTCAGGAAAGACTTGGTGAATCTTTAGGCAAGAAAAAGGTCAAGTCCCCAGAGTGGCACAAGAACCACCAGGTAGTCACAGGCTTTTGGGCATAATTTCCGCCAGACATAAGACTCTCATAAATGTGAGGAGAATTCTTCCTTATAATTTGGTGGCCACAAAGGAGTATGGTATGTCTGTATGTATGCTTCTTTCTTGTATCCTTTTGCCTTTCCTCCTCTTTCGGGTTTCTCTGCATCATCTTTATCTGGTTTTGCATGGATTTCCTCTGAAGTAAATGCTTAAGAAATCTTTCCATCTGAGCTTCTCTGAATTTGGGGGGTTCTGAATTGTTTCTGATGTAATCAGCCTTCATTCAGTCGTAGGTGCACTGATTAATTATAGCACAAAGATCATCTTTATGTGATTGCATTAGTTCAGGGTAGCTTTTGAACTGTGCTTTGATTAAGCACATGCATGCACTGATTAAGTCCCAGACCCCAAAAGAAAATTGATGAACTTGTTTGCATTGATTAATCAGAGTGCAAAAATGAAACAGTTCACTGAGAGCTGGACCTGATTCTGTGATTTTATGGCAAGGTACACTATGCCTTTTTGCTTTCTTTGCTACTTTACTGCACTTTTAAGTGTTTACTTAATTTGTGCACCCCAATTTAAGAAGGATATAGACAAGCTGGAACGTGTCCAGAGGAGGGTAACGAAGATGGTGAGGGGTCTGGAGACCATGTCCTATGAGGAAAGGTTGAAGGAGCTGGGCATGTTTAGCTTGGGGAGGAGGCGACTGAGAGGTGATATGATAACCATCTTCAAGTACTTGAAGGACTGTCATATAGAGGATGGTACAGAGTTGTTTTCTATTGTCCCAGAAGGTTGGACCAGAACCAACAGGTTGAAATTAAATCAGAATTGTTTTTGGCTAAACATGAGGAAGAACTTCCTGACAGAGTGATTACTCAGTGGAACAGGCTTCCTCGGGAGGTGGTAGGCTCTCCTTCTTTGGAGGTTTTCAAACAGAGGCTACGCGGCCATCTGACAGCAATGCGGATTCTGTGAATTTAGGCAGATCATGAGAGGGAGGGCAGGAAGGGTTGCCTCAGCGTTTAGTTCTTGTGGCCCTTTCTTACACGCCCAGGGAAATGCTGATTGCCACTTTGGGGTCAGGAAGCAATTTTTCTCCAGGCCTGTTTGGCCAGGGATCCTGGAGGTTTTTTGTCATCTTCTGGGCATGGAACAGCGGTCACCACGGGTGTGGATGAGGAGGTATTTGTGAATTTCCTACCTTTTGCAGGGGGTTGGACTAGATGACCTTGGAGATCCCTTCCAACTCTATGATTCTATGATTCTATTGAAAGTTGATTTTCTATATTCAGATTTATTTGGAGTTTTTGAATATTTTAGACTGCTGTGGCCATTTTCTAAAAGTGCTTATGCCTGGTTTATACTGTTGTCGGTATGTTACCCTGAGTACTTTGTAGGAGAGTGGGACACAAATAAAATAAAGGGATGAATAAACTGGCTTTCTAAAAGTGTCATTGTGTACTTAACAGAGAAAGGCAGTTCCTTCTCAGAAGACAATCATAGTGCAAGAGATTGATGATCCAGTCCTACCTTTTACGTGTGTTAACTTGGACTGCCCTTTCCCGAGATTCTGCCAGCCCAAGTCCTTGCTGGGATAATGATTATTTTTCTTGTTGCGGGGTACTTCAAGGGCTGGGATATGTGGTGTGAGAATGCTTTCAGTCACTGGTATGCAGATACCTAGGGTGAGATAAGTAAAACAAGAAAAGTCAGTAAGGTCTTATGAGGACAGTGTGTCAGTGAGCTTATTGTTCACTAAGGAAGAGTCTGCTGAATTTATTTATTTATTTATGTTTAGATTTATATCCCGCCCTACCCCGAAGGCTCAGGGTGGCTTACAGGGGCACTATGTGCCAAGATTATAACAGTAAAACACATAATATTAAACAATAAATTACAATAAAATACAGTAACAAGTTTACATTACAAGTTTACAAATTTAACCAAGATGGGCAGATCTTAACCTCCATGGTAGCTTCTTGAAATCTTGTCATCCAAATCATGCCCGGATGCCTCATCCCTCCAGTGGGATCCAGACAATCATGATGGTAATACGATAGTGCATAGGGGCTGTGGTGGAATAGTGGTGGCGGCAGCTCCTACTCAAAGGCCTGGCGGAAGAGCTCTGTCTTGCAGGCCCTGCGAAACTGAGAAAGGTCCCGCAGGGCCCGGATCTCCTCCGGAAGCTCCTTCCACCAGGTAGGAGCTGCCACCGAAAATGCCCTGGTCCTGGTCACCGCAAATTTAACATCTCTAGGCCCTGGAATTTCCAGGAGATGACGACTCCCTGACCGTAGTACCCTTGGGGAAACATATGGAGAAAGGCGGTCCCTCAGGTAGGCTGGACCCTGGCCATAAAGGGCTTTAAAGTTCAAAACCAGCACTTTGAAGCGAATCCGGTACACTATCAGCAGCCAGTGCAGCGCTTTCAGCACAGGCTGAATGTGGTCCCTCCTCGAGAGGCCCATCAACAGCCTGGCTGCAGCATTCTGCACTAGCTGCAGCCTCCGAATTTGCAACAAAGGCAGCCCCATGTAGAGAGCGTTACAGTAGTCTAGCCTTGAGGTAACCATCGCATGGATCACTGTGGCCACGTCCTCACGGCTAAGGT